GAAGTCGACGTGGTGGGAACCGCTAGGGGCCCGAGGAAGTGGAGTCTGTTGCTGTACCCTCCGGGCCACCACTGATGGCCTAATGGAGTCAGAAGACAGCCCAGAAAAGAGCCCTGGGTCCCTGCGAACAAGGAGGTGTCCCTGCTTTGCTTTCCCGCGGCTGGGGATGTGTCACCCTGCCCAGTTGTGCACCCACCCCATGGGGACAGCGCTTGGGCCAGGATAGAGGGGTGAGGGGTGGCAAGGCTCGGTTAGGTTGGTGGGCAGTGCTCCCATGTGAAGTGGGGGTATCCACTCTGCTCCCCACCTCAGTGTAAAAGCAGGGAACTGTCAGCTGTGTGTGGCTATTAGGCCCCCCTCCTCGCTCCTGCCTTGGGAAAGGCTCCCAGTGACCGTGTGCGGTTTTCTTTGTAATTTTCTGGGTTTCCTCACCTTTTTAGCGATGAACATGTAAGGTTGGTCTTTCAGGTAAAGCAATACACGCCGTTTCCCCTAAGCCCTGCCTGTAGCCCCTTTGCCATACCTGGGTATCAGGCCTGAAACAGTTTGGGGACTTTCTTTTCCTCCACTGCCAGTCAGAATAGGGGTTCTCAGCCCTTGCTGAAACTTTGAGTAAAAATGTGATGCCCACTCTCAGGGTTTGGGGTTTAAATGGTCTGGAGCGGACTTAAGGGAATCTATGTTTTTAAGAGCCGTCAGGTGATTCTAATGAGCAGTGACAGCTGAGAATCACTGAGCTAAGAGATGGAGCTGTAATGGAAGTTTGGGAGGGAAAACTGGAGCCCACATACCCTCCTCCATCCCACATACCCTCCTCCTCCTGAGTGCTGGAGGGTCCAGTATATCCTCCTTGGAGATCAGGTGCTGACCATGCCAATTGTGGCTCTGGGCCTTGAGTAGCCTGTTGACCCGTGGGCAGTCCCAGCACAGATCTGCCATGTAAGCATTCCAGTTACTCGGAGGACTCTGCCACAAGCCCCCAGTGCACCCCCCATCCACTAGCTCAACAGACTATCTTCCCAGGCTGGCTTTCCCCAGCCACTCTTCCCCTTCCCTCCCCGACTTCCTGTCCATTCTTTGGTCCTGAATACAGACGATATGTGCGCAAACAAGAAAATATCCGGAGGTGAAATCTCAGTATGCCAAGTCCCAAGTAAGTGGCCTCTTGATGCTCTGTTTCCTTCCCACCTATTCAGAGGATCTACGTTCATGCAGACACCTCAGCTTCAGGAGTTGCCACAGTTCTCAGCTGTCTGTCTGTCTGGTTGTATGCAGAGGTGTGAAGCAGTTGTGGGTATGGGGGCAATGCCAGAGAGGGCGGAAGGAGGGAAAGAAGAGGGCCGGGGGCGAGCAGAGCCAAGGAGAGACACGGAGAGAGGGGAACACAGCCTAGGAGTCCAGAACCAGGGGGAGAGCTGGGGTGACTCCTCTGGCTGGGCAGCTGCCCCACTGTGGAGAGGGCAACCCAGGGGCATGGCACAGACTAGCTGTGGGGGATTTGGGGTCTTGTCTCTGGGTAGATAGTAGGTTTCCTGGGCGGACCCACACACTGAGTCCTGTGTTGTCCAGGACGAGGGTACGTGCCCGGTGGAGGCCTGTGATAGAACAGAGACTGCAAAGAATTGTCTCACTGGCCTCAGGTTTCTCCTCCATGAAATGGGGAGAAGACCTGGCTAATGGGATTGTTGACACTGGTGTTATCTGAATTAGGGATCGCCATGAAGCAACAGTCCTGAGAGTGGTGTGGCCAGGCCCAAGGCTCTGCCACGACTCCCTAGCAGAGGGGCACCTGCTGCCTGTCTCACCTTTATGTACAGAGGGGCTGGGCTGAGGACAGTGCCTGGGGGATGTCTCACTGTGAGAAAGCTGTCTTGGCTATCTTTACTCTTTCTAACCCTTGCCATGCTTCACCTGGTAATCACAGCATCTCAGCCAGCATGCCCATGGGCTCTGGGTTTAGGTACCATACTCCACACACAGGGCCGGTGGCTCCCATGGGGTGGGGTGGGGTGGGGGGCTGTACCGGGAAGTCCGTTGGCAGGGCCGGAATCCCGGTGCAAGCAGAGTGAGCCACACCGCTTCTGTCTGCAGGGCCTAACATTGGGCAGGGTGGTCCTCCAGCGTCCCCGCGGGTCAAGGTCGGTGGCTCCTGGGATGCCGCGTCCCTGCTCCCATCCACCCCAGCTCTGCAGACGCGGGAGCCCCAAGAGCCCCGAGGCGCCGCCGGCGTGAGGCCGTGCGGGTGGAGAGAACAGAGCGGAGAGCGAGCGGAAAGAGGCGCGGGCGCTGGAGAAGCAGTCCATCCACAAGAGGGCGCAGTTTCACGTGTTTATTTTTGGCAGGAAGGAAATCATTGCAAACCTCCCGGGGGACAATGCTCGCCCCTGGAAACGTGCACATTCCACATGTAGTATTTCCCAAGTAATGCTGGCTTGTTTGTCACATTCAAACGTCCAACAGAAATCCACGACTACCCAGGCACCAGAATCTCCACTACCGGGGGGTGGGGGACAGGGGGGTGTTAGTCTGCAGAGAAGCTCCCTGGAGAACCGACAGCAACAGACACCATCAATTTTACAGTGAGACAGGAACAGAGGCAGCCAGTAAGATTTTGCTCAGGTAACTGCAAGCACTTCAAGCCACCTCCCCCCCCCTCCGCGAACCCTGGCTCGCCAACTGTCCATCACAGCACCTTTAAAAGCAGAGGCACAAACGTCACGAGTGTTTGACCATATAGGGCTGCGCGGTTCTAGATTTTATTAGAGAGAGGTCTTTAAAATATAGGGTTGTAAAGTGTTGCCAGGTTATAAATTTACAGATTTCTTTTTTTAAACCAGAAAGTTCAAATGCTGCAACCATGACAAGTCAGTGTCATCAGGGCCTCTTCACGTCTCCAAAGTCACCTCATCAAAACTGCGATGTCAAAGGAGCTTCCCCACCAACCAATGGGGGTGACAAGTAGTGTTCCTCCTTAGGATACAGATAACATTGTTTACAAACAGCTAATGGGTGAAGCCACAGACCAACACATAGAATTCCAGAGCAATGGAAGACAGAGCAGTGACCACCTCAGATGGGCCCGGGCACCGCCACCCAAGGCCCGGCCAGAGATGTTGTCACATCATAGGGGCCCGAGTCCATGACCCAAGATCTCCTGTCCCAGATCTTAATATAAAAAATACTTCCCAGGAGACTATATTTTAACCTGGTACTCAAAGGACCAAGAAACTCAGGAGGCTGGGTTTCTCTTTTGGTTAAAGAGTGTGTGTGTGTGTGTGTGTGGGGGGGGGATATTTTGGTAACATGGGGAGCATATGGCACAGAGAAATAGCTAATGGGGTTCATTAGGTTTTAAAGCCCACAATTTAATAAAAGGTAATAATTAAAAACAATACCCGTATTTACCTTAAAAAACATAAACCCCAAACATTCATCTCATTTCTTGGCCTTATGTTAGAATTCTATTGCTTCATTTACATGTAGATGATTAAAAATATAGAGAGAGATATAGATATTCTGATTATGTACATAAAGCAGAATCAAGGGCTAAAATAAAAATTTTGGCATTTTGGAGTGTGGTCAACTAAGGTGCACAGAGTCCAGAAGGCTCGGCGGGGGGGGGGGCTGGTGGTTCCCCCCCCCCCCCCCCCCCGAGGCAGTCTGTGTCTGCGGTGGCTGGAACTGGGCTCCATCCCCAACAGCCGTGCAATGGCGCTCGCAGTTTCAGGAACTAGCAGGTGCAGTGTCTGGCTCAAGCTTGCCAGTGTCTTCACAGAAGTGGGACACTCTTCCTAGGTTCGAGTCCCCTGAAATACTCTAGAATTTCAGTCCTCTCTGCCCTCTGTTCCGGAGAAGACCGTGTGATGCCGGCAGACAAGAGGGCAGGAGGGAGGGTCGAAGGCTGTCCCCAGGACTGATTTCTGTGTGGATTTCAACGCAGGACAGACACCTGACTGCAACATTCAAGAACATTTAAGGCAGCGGGTCATTAATGACTAGTTTTCCAAATCAAGGTTTAGGGCATGTGCAGATCTGCCACATGACTGCTGTTCTCTGTGGTAATGCCTAACATGGGGCGATTTTTACCGTGACTGGCATGGGGATCACTGGGTTCTGCACACTCAGAATGCTGGGGTGCCTGGCTACCCCTGGACACTTCTCTTCTGAATGCATGGCAGTCCACAGCCCAAAGTGCTGTTGGGAGGACGTGATTATTTTGTGAACGAAAGCAAGAACAAAATTGCACTTCGACACCCATCTTCAGACTTGGTGCCGGTCGCTCCCACCGGAACTCTGGCGGAGGCCCACCCCACAGAGGACTAAGGCAATGGTGCCGACACGAAAGGGTTCTTTTAAATTATTTGTTAAGAGCAATACTTTATAGACTGTCTGGTCAAACAAGGAACATGGCACTGCTTCAAACAGCTCCCCGGGAAAGGCTGCAAAGGAAGCCCCAGCCCAGGGAGGGCACCCCGCCTCTCCTGGCTCAGGGGGGTGAGTTCCACATCTGGACAGGTTTCCCCAACCCCGGCTCAGAAAATAGTCTGTGCTTCAAAAGAGAAGACCAGGAGTGGACTTGGGCCACATCAATGCGGTGGCCAGTTGAGGCCGCGCGTTCTCAGGGGAGAACGGTCGGCTCATCACAGTAGCTGATGTTGGGGGCCATTCAGAACGAACACCACGCCTGTGTGGTGTGCTGGCCCCCGTGTCTTTGTTCCCTCCCGAACTCCCGCGGCCGGTGCCCGGGAAGGGATGCGGTTGGTGCAGTCTGCAGTGGGGGCGGGCGGGGGGGGGGGGACACCTACGTTTCTGACCCTGTCCAAGCCTGCAGCTTAGCAGGGAGCAGATTCTGAGCATAGGCACGGTGGCAAGGAACAGTGTTAACAGCCGCTGGTCAAATCCATTCGGTGGCAGCGCGGGAGCAGCAAAGAAAATTCCCAAACAGCTCCGTGTATATCCAGCTTTTGGAAAGGAAACATTTAAAAAATCAAGACACAGACTTTTTTTTTTTTTAAATATCCGGGGGTTATGGAGTTTCCTGGAACTGCTCTACCCAGAACGACAGCCACGGAATGAAAAACGTACAGAAGTATGGTAGTGGTGTGAAAGCAGAGGTGATGGTGCCACTTTTCCAGGGGAAAGTGTGACCACAGGACATGACTGTCACCACCTGAAGTAACAGTGATACTATAAAGGTATCTACTGTCTCCTAAAGTGTTGAGCCGCACAACTGCAGATACATTCCAAACTGGGTCCGTACTGAGCGGAGACGCTGCCACGGTTGCTGAGGCTCCTGCCGGGAGTCCAGCCCTGGGGCGTGTCACCGGGTGTCAGAGCACTCACACCTGCTGGGGGACAGGCTTGTAGGACTCCCCCCCACCCCCCCCCCCCCCCCCCCCGGGTTCTAGAAAATTGTCATATTCGTCTTTTTAGAGAATCTAAGACAATAAAAGACTAAAAGATGTCTGGAAATATGTTGTGTAGAAAAATTAACTCTTGGCTTAAAATAACATTCAAAAAGGCACTTCATCCTGTAGGAAAGAGATTCTGAGTTGGGTCAGCTGCTCCAAGCTGGGGTAGAAAGGGACAGGTTGTCTGCTTGGAGGAGAGGGCCAGGGGGACAGTTGAAAGGAAGTCTGATAGATTTCAAGCTTTTTTTTTTTTTCCTTTTTGGTATGTTTTAAGAAAAGCAAATCCAGTAAAATGCATGTCCCTTTAGGAAATTTGTTAAAAGAGTTCATTTTAAAATAGTTGTTTCTGTTCTTAAAAAAGAAAACAGGTAGGTATGGCCACGTGGACCTCATGGCCTGGAGCGTGGAGTGTCCTCACTTCCTGCTCCCAGGGAGCGGAGGCCAGGTGGGTCCCCGAGGCCGGAGGCTCCAGGGCGCACGGGCGGGAGGCAGACAGAGGCCGGCGCTACCTACTGCAGAGTCTGTGCAGCACGCCGTACACGTCGTCCTCCCGGCTCAAGCCCTCAAAGAAGGGGATGAGGTCCAGCAGCTCTGTGTCCGTCATGTCATCGAACCAGGACTGCACGGGCACCTGGAAGACAGTGTGTGGAGGGGGCAGCAGAACCGCATCCAGCGCTGGGGGCAGCTCCTAGCCTGACTGGGCCCCCCGCACTTTAAATCTTTTCTTTGGTAAGGAGGACAGGTATCTAAAAACCATCATCATCGTCATCATCATCATCATCATCTTGTGTGTTCTCCCGTCCCAACTATGATCGATCCAAAGCTACCTGGTTTGGGAGGAAGGCAAAGTCAGTGTATTTGCTTTTTAAGTGAAGTCTAAATGCCAGTTTGTGTGCATTTGCCTGTTTTGATTTCCTGCCACAGAAAAGCAGGCCAAGGCGCAGAATATAGGAGAGCTGGCCTTGCTACTTGCCAGTTTCAAAAGCTCTTTCCATTGTATCCCACCAGCTCCTTACACCTCACCTGGAGCCAGAGGCTACCTGCCAGCCACTGACACCAGGGAGCCCACAAACAGGGCACAGGAAAGCTTCTACTTGGGGTCACTGTGCCATGCTGCACGGCAAAGGGAAGCAGGGAATTTCCTCCATCCTCAACAGTGATCACTTAAAAGCAGAAGTATAACATTTCAGGACAGTCTGAGCCATGGGCCCAGACAGGATTTACACTTTGTTATAGAGGGTGGGGAGGGGTGGTAACGGGTGGTGCAAAAGAGGTGCAAAAGAAGGGATGTAAAAAGAAAATTTGCTGGGCGCCTGGGTGGCTCAGTCGGTTAAGCGTCTAGGCTTCGGCTCAAGTCATGATCCTGGGGTCCTGGGATGGAGCCCCGCATCGGGCTCCCTGCTCTGCTCCTCCCTCTCCCTCTGTCTGCCTGCTCTGCCTACTTGGTGTTCTCTCTCTCTGACAAATAAATAAAATTAAAAAAAAAAAAAAAGAAGTTTGGGGAAAATCAAAGAAGTTCAAAAGTAGTATTTTGGGCCTTTTTACAAATCTAAAGACTGCTCAGAAACAAAACAATTCATTGTATAATTTAAAAATATAAACAAGGTAAGGATTAACAACAACAACAAAAATGACTACTCCTAGGGGAAGGGCAGGAATGAGGGAGAGGGCAGACATAGACATAAGACTTCTCTAAATCAATCTCTGTTGGTGGTTTTGATGTTGGAATCATGGAAATATGTTACCTAATTGCAATAAAATTAAACAACTAAGAAAAGAAAGCAATAAAAAATGAACCTAAATATATATAAAGTTGGTGACATAGCCACAGAGAATTATTTCAAGTGATTTTAAAACATAGTGTTCTGCCTATACATTTCTCCAAAAAACCCTACATGCATTTAATTGTCTTAGTAGTAGTAATAATGTTAGTACTACTATTTGGAAACTATTGAACATGTACAATAGACTAAGTCAAATAGGTAATGATGTTAATATATTTAGGAAACGAGCTTCAGCACAAGAGGAGATACAGATACAAAAACAAAACCAAAGAAATGAAATAAAAACTGTTATAGCATTGAATTGGAAAAATCAATATGAATTTATGATTTAATTTTATTCTAAAAATTACGTATATTTTAGCTCTGTCCAGTATAAAGGGCTAGAAGCAAAGGATATCTCAGTAACAATGAGAATCCACCCAAATTGTGGTCTCTAAATACCATTTCCACTAATAGGAATCAGGCTCCACAGGCAAGTGGTTGATTCCAGGGCTGAGGCAAGAAATGGACAAGATGAGCATGGAACATCTTGTTGCACCAGAAAACAGGAAGCGTTCAAAGACTATTGTTATACGAAGGGATGTCCGCTGTCCAAAGGTGAACATTTGAGCATCCAAAAGAATAATAAATGGATTAGATTATAACAATAAAAAAATCCATGAGTTCATATTAATACCTAAAACAAATTCACTGGCTGCTTTTGGAAGTTGCTAGAGCACCACCTCATTTCTCTGAAGACTGAAGAATGAAAGAAAAAGAAACAAGACTTTACCCTGACTTCCTGATTCAAATACTCAAACTGAATTTAGGGTAATCTGTAGTCGATGAGGGCAAGTTTGATTAAAAAAAAAACCAAAAAACAGAGTTCCAGCCAATAAATGTGGAAAGAATGATAGAATTTAGAAATCACTATTTCATAATTCTTAATGAAACAGTTGATGAAGGAAATGATCATCAACAGCTGTTCATTTTTAGGTGAAAGGATGATGGGGAATTTGAAAACAGATGAACAGGCTAACAACACCTGAATCCAAAGACCAATTTAAAATCTTTAAAGGGGCACCTGGGCAGCTCAGTCGGTTAAGCATCCGACTCTCGATCTCAGCTCAGGTCTTGATCTTGGGGTTGTGGGTTTGAGCCTCATATTGGGATCTACATTGGGCATGGAGCCTACTTAATAATATAATAATAATAAAAGTGAAATCTTTAAAAGTAGGACAGCCTGACATTATATGCCTCTTGATGTGATACCGTAAGTATACACTATCACCAAGATGTATTCTTTTTTTTAATTTTTAAAAAATTTATTTATTTGAGAGAGAGAGAGAGAGAGAGTCCAAGTGGGGTAAAGGGCAGAGGGAGAAGCAGACTCCCCGGTGAGCATGGAGCCTGATATGGGACTTGATCCCGGGACTCCGGGATCATGACCCAAGCCGAAGGCAGATGCCCAACCGACTGAGCCACCCAGGCACCCAGCCTATGATGTATTCTTGAAAAAATTGAAAAATTTGAAAAGTAGTAATCTACCTACTTGTTTAAAGGAAATATGGCAGTTAGAAAAACACAGTAACACACAGTAAAACAGCCTTTTGGTAATAAGGCTGCAACTAGACAGATCCAGAAGAGAGGAAATTTCTATAAGGCAAATAACCAGAATTCTTCAACAAGTAAATAGGATGGAAGAGAAAGGGAGAAGGGAGGGAGAATTGTTAAGATTATACAAGAATTACTAGATACATTATTAACCAAAGCAGTGCTTGGACCTTGTTTGATTCTGAGTCAAACAACCCAAACGTAGGACAACCTTTTGAGATGATGGGGAAAATATGAACACAGTCAGGGTATGAGATAATATTAAGAAACTGTTAGTTGTCAGATGTGATAATGGAATTGTGATTATATTAAGAAGTAATCCTTATCTGTTAGAGACAAATGACAAAATGAATTATGTTGAATTTGATTAACTCACTAAAACGAACATGTTTAAATATAATAAATTTGGAATGTTTACTCAAGTAATCACTGCGCACTAACTAAATGAATCTAGCTTGATCTCAGTTTTTTGTTACAGGTGGAGCCACAGAGTTCTGGTTTCAAGGAAAGGACCCTGGGGAAGCTTTTGTTGCGTCTGAGAAGCCCAGGCTGGGGAGGAAGCCTCCTGTCCAGGGTTGGCTGCTTGAGCTGAGGGCCAGCGTGGAGGTACTGCTGAGGGCTTGGCCATTACCAGCAGGCCTGGCTGGCTCCTCTCCCCCTGGAAGTGTAGGCTGGGAAGCGGGAGGGCATCTCTCTCTTGCTCGGAGAGTCATGCTGCACCCAGTGAGCAGGCACTAAGAGCTGCCACGCTCCAGGGAGTTTAATGTAGGAAGACATCCTACATGTCTTTTTAAGACATCATTACGAGGCAGAAAAGCCTGGCAGGCTTGTCTGAAGGCCTTGACTGAGGTGTTCTTATTCATTCTTGGTTAAGAACTTCTGCTGAAGAGGTCATCCAAGCCTTCTGAATCTACAGGACTCATGAAGCCAGCTCCAGGAGGTTACTGACGGAACCCTTCTCAGTAACAGTATGAAAAATGCTAAGATCCAGGCTCACTGAGCACTTCCCCAATGCAGACAGCATTCTAGAGCTTTTCACGCTCTGCCACACTTGATCCTCCAACCCTCCTACGGGTCAGCATCCCTAGAATCCCCATTTGATGGACGAGGTAAGTAAGGCTCAGTGAGGTTAAGTAACTTGGTCAGTGCCAGGTACCTGCTAAGTGGCAGAACTGGGATTTCACCCAGGGAAGGCCAAGAAAGCTGGCCCAGGTGCTTGAGGGCACAAAGGTGGAACTGGACGGGGCCCTGCCTTCTCTCCCCCTAGGGCCACTTACTGCATTCTCGGGATGGAAGATGTACGAGGCGGGAGAATTGTCCACAATGATCACTTTGCTCAGCTCCCGGCCCAGGCGACTCAGGTCTTTCACGTAGTTCCCACGATGGAAGACGCAGGATTCTCTGAAGAGCCGGGCCCGGAACACGCCCCAGCGGTCCAGCAGGTCGGCCACGGGGTCTGCATACTGAAAAGCAGGTCACAGTGAAGGCTAGGCACCTGAAGGAGCCCAGAACCCCAGGCCACCTGCAGCAAGATCCGCATTACTTTTCTAGAAAGGGATTTACATAATTGGATGTGTTTTAGGATCCTGGTTATTTTCCTTTCCATTTGTGTAAGATACCCTGGATTCTTCCATTTCCTTCACCTCTCATATCCAATCCATCAGAAATTCTTGGCAGTTCTGTCTCTTAAGAGTATCTGGAATCCACCTGCCCCTCTCTGTATAACTGGCACTACCTGCCCTGATTCCAACCTGTGTAACCTCTGCCTGGGGTTTGCATACTAAAAAGAACGTGAGCCTCCCAAAGAGGCTAGGGGGCTGACTCTTGATGGACACAGCGATTAATTTCCCCAGAATTGTTAAAACTGGTGGTGGCATACATCCTTCAAGGGAATGTCTGAGTCTGGGGGCTCCAGGCCTTGGAGATGAATGTGGGAAATGTAAGCTTCATGAGGGCAGGGGCTTTCTCTCTTTTGTTCTCTGCTGCATCCCCAGTGCCCAAGACAGAGCCCAACACACAGTAGGCACTAAGTAAGTATTTGCTGGGTGAACCCATCAATAAAGGAAACCAAGAGGAGGAAGCAGACATAGAAGGGCTCTGACAGTCAGCGGAGGGTTCCTGTGGGCTCCTGGGTGGTGGGCCAGTGTGGCAGTGCTGGTTGGGAGCTGAGCCCAGAGCCAAAAACCGGGGAGTGCCCACCTGTCCACAGGGAGGAAAGGGCTGGAAGGCTGCACCTGGGAGCTGATGCAGCTGAGCCAGGCTGGAGCAGCACTGAGAGAAGGGTTGCAGAGACAGATGGAGGCGCAGGTGGGAGCAGTCCAGGAAGGGAGACTACACAAGGATGCTTAAGTGAGTGCTGGGGACAATGCCAAGCAAGAGTGTTTCGAATCTGCCAACCTTCCCCCGACGCAGCAGCCCCCAATCCCAACTCTCCATCTCCCCTGAGCGGGTGCAATCGTCCTGTTTGTTACTTCTTTAGCTGTCACTTCAGGCTCCTCGGCACCTCAGAGCACTGCCAGGAGAGCCATCTCCACTACAGTACCATTGCTCTTGGTACCATTCATGGGAAAGAGTGCCCACAGGGAAGACTGTCTTCCCTGAGGCCACGTTGTTTTTAGTATGCAAAAGTAAGGCCTAGGTTTTGGCTTCACTCTCTACCAGCTCATGCTTCAAGGCCTGGCAATGAGCCTGGCAGAATGTTGTGCAGGTGGGGTTCTCTCTCATCTCAGCCATGACCAAGAGATGGCCCAAACCAGGAATGCCCAGTCTGGCAAAGCGGGATGTCTGAGAACCTGGAGTCAGAGTCCTCAGCATGCAGAGGAGAAGAAGGGAGCTGTCCAGAGCCAGGAATTGTTGGGGGCAGTGGGGAATTGCATGTGAGATGAGCAGATGGCTAACCTGGGCCCCCCCAAAGCTCATCTCTGGGGACACTTCAGAGTCCCGGAGCCACCCATGGAGACACTGGTGGTGCCACCCACGAATGGATGGCGTTGGCACCATCAGAGTCAGGATGTGAGAGACGGTCATGGCAAGGATCTCCTCTGAGGAGTGGGGGCCTACCCTCTCGCCCCCCCTTGGCTCAGCACACCTGTGAAAGGGCAGACATAACCATATGGTGGGGGGGCCTTTAACTGTAGGAGAAGGCAAAGAAATCACTCTATGTGGTTAGAGCCAGCATAGATGCTGGGTCAAAGATTCATGCCAAGCTACAAGGCCAAACCATGTGAATTATTTTGTCATCATCAAGAATTATGATAACTAAACAAGGAACATCAGGAGCACTTACCACGTGACAGAGTCTGTGGGGCATATGGAGCACAGCAGGTGCTCCATGAGTACATGCTGCATATGAGTCAGGCCCTAAGCTATGCCCTTTACATGCATTATTTCATTTGATCCACTCCATGAGGTAGAGGGAATTATCCCTAATTTCTAGAAGACATGGAGTGGAGAGAAGTGAAGTCACTTGCCCGATCTCAGGGCTCACTAGGGCAGTCGGAACCCTCCTCTGGCCTGTGCATGTGGGTGAATCTTGGACATTCATCCTTCCCCAAACCTGTGTAAGCTAATGAAGGACACAAAGGCTTGAGCCTCTCGCGGTGGGCTGCCAGTCAGCAGAGGAGACGCAGATGGCCTTTCTCAGTTACACTGGACACATTGGAGATATCCTGGTCTGTGGACACCCAGCTCGAGGCGGCTGCATGCAGCAACTTCATGGAGCATTTGTTCCAAGGGCTCCCTGTCACCATGGTAACCCGGAAGCCTTTCAGGCTGGTACTGCGCACATGGCCTGCATCCATCCCATCTGGGGTGGGAACCTGTCACCATAGCAACCGCTTCCCCCACCTTCACAGAGGGCTGTCTGATACTGACAGGGGGTTGGGGTGGAGTGGCTGGGGGTGCCCAGCTGGGGGCAGGACATACCTTGGCTAGGCTGGCAGTAAAGAGCACACACTCAAAGAGCTGCCCCATCCTCTGGAGGAACTCATCCACATGGGGCCGCTTCAGCACGTACACCTGCAACGGTAGCAAACAGCAAGCTGGTCAGTTGTGGCAGCTGCTGGGGGTGGCCGAGGGCCAACACCCAGGGAGGAAGAATTCCTGAATAGGTAACTGCTTCCTGTCCCCAGCTCTATTTGTGGTATGGACACCCCACCTGTGTGAGGGGTATGTAGGCAGAGGTGGCACTTCAGGCCAGACACACTCCTCAGACTGGGCTCTGGGTCTGAGTCTGGCGCAGACCCTCCTCCCAAGGGAGAAAGGGAAGCTGACCGCGGTACTGCAGGTCTTAGGGATTTTCAGAACCAGTGAGTGGCAGGGTTGTGCCATGTTTGTGTGAAATGACTCATTCTCTCACATGTGTTTCTTGGCACGTGTTCTGGGTCAGGGCCTATGTGGACAAAGGCCAAGGTCTGGGGGCTGTCCTTTGGGAGGTCCAGGCCCAGCCCATTGCCCGGCAGCTCTGGGATTGCTCCAGTTGCCACCTTCTACCCTTGACTGGAGCACCTCCCCTGCTCGGAAGGCCTGGGGTGGGAGGGCAGGCCCAGCAAAGCTGCAAGAAGGGCCTTCCGTGTCAGCTTGGGAAGCCGTCCACTTGACACCACAAAGGTTACTCTGCTTGGGCTTGGTACAGATGTCAGGGGACATGAAGCCAGCCTACTCCCAGGCCCCCAGTCAGCCATCGGGGAGGCCTCCAAGCAGAAGGGGGCAAAGAGGAGACTTTCCTAGAGTGGCTGCTGGGCTCTGTGCTCCTGACTGGGGAACCTGAACAAATCTGAGGAGACTAGGGAGACGGGAGGGAAGGCAAAGCTGGTGACAGAAGATAGGGAAGGTGGGAGGAGGGAAGAACTAATTAAAACTTGAATAAATTCCATTTGAAATTAGCCACTTCCCTAAAATAAATCAAACTTATTAAAATTCAATTCAGCTTATATTCACTGAGCCCCAGCTCTGTGCTCAGCCTGAAGAAGTTACACAAATGAACAAAACACAGGCCTTGCCCTTGAAGAGCTCACAGTCTAGAGCAGATATAAATAAAAGCAAATCAAGATAAGCATGCATAATGGCAGTTGTAGTACAGGGATATATTAAGGACAGTTAACTCCCCTCTCAGGGGGAACGAATCACAGAAGGTAACATTCAGCCTGGACCTTGAAGGATGAACAGGAGTTCACCAGGCTGATAAGGATGAGAAGTAAGCTTCTAGGCAGAGGAAACGGTATGAGCATGAGACCTGGCCTGAAAATACCCAGGTGTCAGAGCATGGCCGAGCCCTTCATGACCAGCCCTTCGGAGGAGATGGGGGATAGGAGAAGAAGTGGCTGAAGGGGAAGTGTGAAAGGCAGGTTGGGGGGAGTACGCGTGGGGCCGTGAAAGGCAGGTGTTGCCGGCGGTCTATCCCGTGGAGTCACAGAGGAGGGGCGGGGCTCTGTACTGCACAGAGAATGCATTCTGTGCACTGCAGAGCAATTCTGCACGGAGGCAGGCCTTGGTGGGAACTTGGGGCCAACTGAACGAGTGGGGTAAGCACGGTCTGTGACTGAGGGTGTAGCGAGGGGCCAGAGGAGCAGGACGGCCTGGGGTGGGTGCCAACAGGGCTGCGAGCAGCTGGGAGGTTGGGGTGGGGGTGAGGGCAGGGCTTGTGGCTGCAGGAGCTCCAGGCCCCCACTATGTCCATGAGACTCCTTGATGCCAGGGAATGGGTATGGCCTGTGGTCCTCAGTCTCCTTGGGAATACTACTTGGAAAGCAAGCTTTCCTACACGCAAAGGGCAGGAGACTGATTTGGGAACTCTGGTTGTTGGTGCCTCTGGCAGGGGGGGAAGGTCCTGGGCCCGGATGCCGGCGTCCAGGCCCGCGTCCGCGTGCAAGTAACCAAGAATAGGCCCATTGGGACCTGCACAGCCTATCCTGGATTACTTGAACGAGGCCACGGCCTTCGCCAGGGCCTTGGTCCTCCTCTTGGCGCCTGTGGCTTCATTCCCTCAGGAGAGAGAGTTTCTGACCCCAATCCTGGGGCCCTGGAGTATCTACCACCATATGAATCACAGTGCAGTCTGGAGGGAGGCTGGGGGAGCTGGGGTGGCTCCTTCGAGAATGGGCTGGCCATAGCAGGTCAGGCCCCGAGGGCCATGCTCATAGTCTCGAGGTAAGAAGGATTAATTTCTCTCCTAATTCTTGCCATGCCAGTAGGCAGCCTCTCCTTTGTCTCATTACTTTGTAGCAGAAGCCAAGATAATAAATGAAGCCCTAACTGCTTCTCAGATGCTGAGTTAATTCAGCTGATGCTTTTGCAAATGTTAAATGCCCAAGTGCCTGCCTTTTGGCCCCCTGATGGCTTTTAAAAGCGTCAAGTGTGGAGACACTAGGGATAAGCTGCCTTTCTCAGGGCTAGCTTCCTGGCAGGACCTACTGGCAGGGGAGGGAAGGGACCAGAGCATCAGGAAAAGAGCCATGGGCCCAGAGGCAAAAGACTAGAAGTCTCATTTTAATTCTTCCCATTGTATGACCTTGAACCAACCCTTTCTCTGGCTGAACCTCTGTTTCCCTACCTGGACAACGAGGTGGCTGGGCCAGCTGATTTCCAAGGCATCACCAACTCTGACACCCTGTACTCAAGGGCCAAAGAGACGACTGGCATCATTAAGGAAAGACATCCTTCTAAAATGGCTCAAGCACCAAGAGATATTTTCCTTCCTGGGATATAAACATATCAGGCCACAGACTGTCCCTTTAAGACCCTGGGGTTGACGAGGAAGATGGTCAGACCATGCCTGTGGAAAGCCTGACAAAATCTCCCCTGCTCTTCAACCTCCGAGGTACAATGTTGCAATATGTTCATAAATGAAGCTATTCCTAGAGAAGCGTCATGCAGATAAGGAGAAAAAATATCAGAACAAAGATGCATGCCAATTAACTAGGGCATCTATATTCAAATTTGCCTCCTGATCCGAAACACACCCTTCCCTCTTTATCCTTTGGGTTAAAGAGGGGTTAAAGATTCACTGGAGAACACGGTGTAGGAGTGACAAGATCAGCCTCGAGTGGCTGGCATTGGAAACGGACACCCCTTCCCAAGATTCCCCCATAAGTGGGTGACTTGCGGCATTTTCCTGTTGCAGGCTAGGAGAGTAGCCGAAAGCCCTTACATGAGGAAGTTAATTAGACCGTTAAGCTAGGCCAGTGGGGGATATGGAAACTTCTAAAAGTCTGAATCAAATCAAAGAACTATTTGAACTTGCAAACACATCCAATATCTACAAACAGATTTTAGTTTCCCTTATAAACTCAGTATAAAAGAAATTCATCTCAGTGGGAAAAAAAAAGCAGAAAACCATTGTATTTATTTTACGAAACCTTCTCCCTTTTGATTTAGTCATAAAATTATTGATGAAATGGGAATTTAGAAGTAAGTTCAAAGGAAATGTAATTACCAAAAAATGTTACTTGCAACTCAGATTTAGCTTTGATTTCTTACCTGATGTATAGTTCCATCGATTTCAACCGGAACAATAAAATCAGCATTACTAATAGGCTAGAGAGAAAAGAAATGATAATTACTACATCTGAAAGAACAAAATAAAATTGGAAACTTTAGTAAGAATAAGACTTGCCTGGACCAATGTTTTTATTATTGGAAAAAACAGTTCAAGCAAAGGATGTTCAAGAATGCTTTGGTTCCTTAAAATAAGTACAAGGAAAAAGCACATTTTTTTCTGTTCTGAGTTTCGTTATGTTTTCAGCATCTTGGTCCAACCTCTCTATCATCTTCCTGGCCTAAACTACAAAGGGTAGGGCGGCCTAGCCAGGGAATGGGGCTTCTCAGAAACCCCAGCTCTTGCCTAGAGCTCTGCCAGGATGATGCAGAAACACTGCTGGCCACCAGGGGGAGGAGGTGAGAGCCTGATGGTCCTAGAGGACCCTGCTACTTGGGGGAGAATGATTTGTACTGGACCCACTGATGCAGGCTGCCCTGTGATGGGCTGCTCAGCAGGAGATGCTGAGCATATGGACACAAAGCAGGGCCACAGACACGTGGGGTGAAGTCAGAGGCCACAAGCCATGACCTTGGGCAGGCTCCTTCCCTCTAGACCTTGGTTTCTCCTCTCTTCCGCGGCTACAGTAATGGGTCTGATGAGTGCCCATGGCTCCATCGGTCCTGAGCATCACTGATTTCAGCCTTGCCCAGCACGGGCTCCTGCCCTGAGCCGTGGGGGAGAGCCAGTCCACCCTAGACTGCTCTGCTCTAACACAATGCCCAGCACACCCGCAAACTTTTGGCATATTTAAAAGAACTCTTTGACAATATTAATGACACTTAAAATCCAAATATGATTCTTTGGCAGTTCTTGTGTAAGTCAATGCTGGGCTTACATATAGTTCTAAATGGAATTCCATCAATTAGGTGGAAACTACTCAAATGAACAGGCCCAAGAGAATCAGAAGAATGCAAACCCCTTGGGACAAGTAGGAGAGAGAGGGAGGAGAGCACATGTGTGGTGGCCACTGGGCAGGGGTGCAGAGAGGGGTGTGCGGCACGGAGTGTCTGGTCAGGATCTCTACCGGGATCTGCCTTTAAGCCCATCACTGTACACGTGTACACACACACACACGCACACACACACACACACACACACACACACACACACACCTTTGATAAGTAAACTGAAAATACATAGAAAATTCTAGATCTCAGAACCATTCCTAAGTACTCAGTAGGGCACCTGAGGCTTAAGATTACAATTTATTCACTCCTGTGGTTGGAAGGCCAAGGATGAGTTCGGTATTTTATAATGCTACAACTAAAATACAAAATCGGGGCGCCTGGGTGGTTCGGTTGGTTGGGCGTCTGCCTTCAGCTCAGGTCATGATCCCAGGGTCCTGGGATCGAGTCCCATGTCGGGCTCCTTGCTCGGCGGGGAGCCTGCTTCTCCCTCTGCCTGCTCTGCCTGCCACTGCCCCTGCTTGTGCTCTCTCTCTCTGGCAAGTTAATAAATGGAATCTTTAAAAAAATTTATAAAATACAAAATCATGCTAAAAACACAAGATTGAAGGAAGAAACTCTGACAAGGCATTAGCAGATTGTGAAATCATATTCCAAAGAGTACATTAAAGGAGAAAAACCATTCACCAGTTCAGAGCAAGCCTGAGCCTCAGTCTCTTCTCACGTGCTGCTGTAAAGGAGGCCATGCCAAGCCACGGTTCTCACCCTAGGTCTAAGAGTCTGTGTGTTGTACTGTTGTACATTTTCAAGGAGAGGCCTCTGAAATGCTCAGAACACTAAAAACCATACAATAAAGGTGGTTGTCAGAGGGCATGTGGGGAGGGTGTGTGAAACAGATGAAGGGATTAAGAGTACATGTATTTTGATGAGCACGGAGAAGAACTGTTGAACCATTATGTTGGGTACCTGAAACTAATATAACTCTGTATGTGAAGTATACTCAAATAAAAAAACCCCACACCATAAAGATAATTTTGCTTGCAAACACAGGCAGGCCAGGGAAGGAAGAGATGAAGAGATGCTGTTCACATCAGCTCGTGGTGTAATGCCCTCCAAGCAGGCCCTGCCTTTGGAGGCAAGAACCCTCCATAAACCTCGGGCAGTCTGGCCAGTGTTGGGAGGAAGCCATGTAGGCTGAAATGGCAAATGACCCCTGCTCCAAAGGGCTTTCCTCCTGAAAAGTCCCGAGCAACTTGCCCACAGGGGAGAAAAGGCTTCCAATGCTGTTCAGAGCTGAGCTGGGACACAAGGTCATGGCAGTCACAGGATCAATCCTGGAAGGGCCCTCAGGGTGCTGGGGAAGGAGGTGACACCTCCAGGCCCCAGTGGCCAGAGGGGCCACTTTCCCACTGCTAGAGAAGGTGTGGCACCTCCTCCCCTCTCCCAAAGAACTCGCAGACAGCTGTCTGGCATCGTCCTGTTAAGGAAGATTTCTGTTCAGGGAGAAACAGGCACAAGGAGGATGTTCTGGACAGAAAGGTCTCCAGGTCAGTTTGATGGCTCTTTCACTTCCCAATTCAATGGTCAAGGAATGACTATGGGTCACATGAGACACATGCCCCATCATGGACAGTGCCTCTCACATCTCTCAGCAAAGGAAGGGGATTTGAGGGCCGGGGGTAAAAGGAGGAACAGGGTCTAACTGGCGAGTGACAGTGGAGCAGTTTCATCTCCCGAAATACCCCAAGAGAAAATAGGACCAGGACCCTTCTTCTTTCCCCCAGCTCCCTATTCCAAACCTTTTCATCATCTGCCTCTTTTAAACAACTCGTTTCATTTCAAAAACTGGAAAGAGGGTTCACAAAGTCACTTCTTAATAGTGTAGCCACAGCCAGTCCCACATGGACACCCTCTGAGAATGTGTAATTATTGCTGTCCTTCTGGCAGGGAGTGGAGTGAGGAAGGGGACAGAAAGAAGCTGGGGCTTGATGCTCCGTGTGACATCACTGCAGCCCCGCCCCCTTAGGAGGGAAGTCATGCAGGTGGATGGATACTCATTCAGCTATGAAGCTTGTAAACCAACCAACCAACCAAACAAACAAACCCAGCAACCTCTTCTCATGACAAAGCTCAAAATAAATGGCTGAATCTGCCCAGATGCTGTCATTCTAGAAGTCTTCTTCAGAGCTGGACATCTTTCAGAAATTGGTCTGGGAAAACTTCCAAAATAGCAGGTTGCTTGACAGTTTAACGGTACCTGTCCTGCTCCTCCCAATAAAACATACAGCACTCTGACCAGCTTGACAAGTACACAGTAGTGTCCTGGGGCATGGTGCCTTTTGCCACATGAAAAGTATTTCTGCAGGGGTTGGAGGGTTGGAAAACTCAGATCTCCTAAGTAAGAATGAGGTCTCAGTGACACTGGCAGCCCAGCATTTCCCCCCCAAACTAACTATGTAATATTCGACTACTTGAGTTAATGTTTACCAGAGTTAATAAGCAACTGTTCTTGGGATTTCTTCATGCACAGTGAAGTCATACACAAACAACCACAAAATGTCATCCTTTTTTATTTTTACTTTCCAATACAAATGTGACCAAATCACAAAGATCATGGATTGCTTTCTTTGTTGATTTACCTTAAATGAACTGTGCACCAATGTTTCATCTAAATCAATGACCACACATTTCTTTCCATAGTCAAGCACCGTCACCTCTGGAAGGAGGTATTTAGCTGGTGGCTAAAATGAAAACAAAAAAACAAAAAACAAAAAACAAAAACAAAAACAAAAACCAGTATTATTACCTTTATGTAAAAGACAAACCAGTGCCCTTATTATCGTATCATATTATGTCAATGAGGTTTAAATGAGATCAAACGTTTAAATGCCTGATTAAGCACATCACGGAATTTTATTAAAAACAACAGGACTAGGTAGTTAACAAATACTTTGCCATTGTCCGAATGGCTGTTTGAGGGTCTAGGCTTTGGAACCAGGCAAGCCAGGGTCTGAATATCAGCTCTGTCTCTTTCTTGGTTATAAGCTGGGATAATAATACCTACCATGAAAGGTTGTTGTTAACAGCTATAACTGTGGTAAAGTGCCCAGCATTCTGCCCGGTACATACATGGTGGCTACTGTTATTGTTAAAATGGGCTACGCAAAAATAAATGTTTGATTATATTAGCTACTCTCATACCTCCAGGCCCATTTCCTGGGGTCATATTTTGTCTGAAATTCACTGTGGTACAGAAATATAGTTTAGAGCTATACTGGAACCACAGTGTTTGTTTTTGTTTGTTTTAATGACTAAAATTTTCAGAAACTTGAAGAGTACCTACAGACCCACCAGCAAAATGCAATCCAAAGTGAGTTCCAATAATAGGAAACAGAAATAAAAGTGGTCAAGGTAAAGTAGTGTCTGGTGTCTGCCCCACTGCAGTATTAGTACCGAGCAAGCGTGGCGTTGTTACCCCTTGGATTCTCAGTACCTGGAAGTTATACTTTAATCCACATGCTGTGTACTAATCAGAAAACCAATTTATGTCTTTGTGGTAGCTGAATCTAATCTTGTGATAAAGAGGTTGTAAAGAGCTAATAAATGGCTAGGTATCTTCAGCCAACCTCATTCTTGATTCAGAGTTTTATTTCTCTGGGCCTTGCCTCATTCGAGAGATGATGTGAAGTATTTCAGTTTACTCTGTGGTGTATTCAGTATCCAATGTTAACTAGCTAATTTTCTACCCTGGAAGGTCAAGCTCTCTCTGTTCAATATTTAATGCAAAACAAAACACACAGAAAATGTGTCCCTAGCCACTGAAGAACAGACAATTTAGCTTGCTAAAACAAACAAACCCCAAAAACAAAAAACAAGAAAAAGAAAAAAGAAATCAAGAGGTATTCCCTTTTAAATGGGTATTTCCTTTTTCTGGTGGTTGGGGGGAGGTTAGAGTGAACAGGAGTCAAGGATCCCGAGTTAATTCTGGACTTTGCTGGTTCAACAGTGAGTGTAACACAGGAAGCTGACAGGGTAGGTAAATTTGCGAGTGTGATGATCATCTTGTCTGGGCTGATGGGGTGAGGCTGCGTGTGGTGATCCTAATTTCACAGGGGCTCTCTCCAGTGAGTGTGGGTGTTTCCTCCTGTCCAGCGTCGTCCAGAAGAAAAAGGCTTCATGGCCTCCAACTCCCTTGGCTCTAGTTAAAGTTCACCAAGCAGTATATTCTCACCCAGCAACTGCAAGTGGCCTGGGAGGAGATGTGCCTTAGACATGGGGCATGGGATTTGGGTTCCTAGAAAGGACTCTGTCCTTCATTGTAAGTCAACAAGCAAGCAGGTGGCTGGAAAAACTAAACTTGCAAGAAGTCCTGTAAAAGTGTTTTAAAAAGGCAGGGTATGATGAGCTCTGTGAGCGAACATAATAAAGAGGATTTGAGTTATTTTCTGTTGTTTGGGCCATAGCAGAAAGCATGCCTGTGACTAGAATAAAATTTGTTTTAATTTTTTATTACACAATCATGTAACAAAAACACATTCTCATTGTAAAGAATATAGACATGTAGCAGACAACTATCCCCTTTTCCTCGTGCCCCGTTCCTCTCCCCAGATACCCCCCATTTTAGTTCAGTGTGTATCTGTCCACTCCTTTCTCAATGCGTTTATATACTAAACAACATTTTCACTTTATGTAATTGCTAGCCTGGAAAGTAAGGCTCTAGAAATTCTATCCCTAGCAGATCTGAAAACATCAAAGATCTGCCAAAAGTGGCTCAGTTATTTTCCAAACCTGAGAATAAAAATTACTTTCTTAGCATATTTAACCCACACTTTGCAAGCATTCTCCGAGCTGACAGCATGGAAGAGGCCTCACAATACTACTGGAAGAGTGAAAAGAAGAAGGGTGAGACTCCTCTTAAGCAAGTTACTGATCCAGCATTTGTGCTGCAGAGGACAAGGCCGGGCTGGGGGCAGTGGGCAAGGAGGTTCCATTAATCCTCAGCCCGCTTCCTAAGTGCACACAGCTTCTCTGAGAGCTTGGCTTTAGATTAATACAAATTCTTCAGACCACTAGTAAGAATTCTTCTGGACAGCTGTGTCCTTGGAACACGCAAGGACGCTATATAATTGCAACAGTGCTTTATTACTTCAATTGATCTGTTCAGGTGATGCTTGAATTATTAACTAAAAATGCCCTGAGGCAAATTTCCTCTCAGGCCATCATAGAACTGGAGAACAAGAGGAACACCAGTTATATCAAGAAGAGCCTTTTCTACACAAACCTCTTGCTCCAAAGCACATGGAGGGCACTGCCAGGGGGATGGAAGGGGTGGGGATAGGGGGCAAAACCATGTGGGTGGGGAGGGGGGAGGAAGGAACCTCGGCTTGCCACCCAAGGTTTCGGAAGGGCATTCATTCCAGTTTTCCTCCTGGGAGTAGGTTTGGAATTTCCCATCCTTGGTAGTGAACTGGCAGCCATGAACCGTTAACTCTAAGGTTCTTTAGAGTACCCACCCTACTCACTCGCTTCCTGGCACATCAGACTGGGGTTTTGTATGTAAGAGTCCTCAGGCTCAGAGTCTGCACTCTAGGCTCCCCAAGCCACAGAGCTGAGGGCAGAGATCTCAGGGCTTCTGAGGGAGGGGACAAAGAAAACTCTAGACCACCTTTAATTACAATCGTTGTTTCTTTCTTTCTTTTTTTTTTTTTTTACAATCGTTGTTTCTGCTGATGGGTTCCTTCATAAGGTTTGGTGGAAAAAAGTATACTACTGTTTATTAAAAGGCTTAGGCAAACATCATAGACACCTGTTAGAAAATGCATTTCTCTTCTCCCCTTTTAGCACTTTTATGGCTCAGCTGCACTGCAACCACGTGTGGTGAGCATCAGGATGGAGTGATTCATGAAGAGAGGGCATGGGAGGAGTTGGCTCACAGCCCCAGTGGCATTCCTTGCTGGGGCCAGAGCATTTGAGTGCTCACCTTCAGCCATGACCACCCGATCCTGGGGGGTTCTAAACCTGTCCCTCTGCTTCTTTCTTTACCCTTCAACATCTGACTTTTACTGGGCAGCCCACGAGGCTTCCAGTAAGATGTGTGGAGGGCCCCAAATCCCAGCCTATGGTTGGGAGGCCAATGTTGCTGAGTGGTATGTTTAATGTCAAGTCCAGATAAAGATGTCACTTTCAAGAGGGGTATAAAAGCTGAATTAATCAATAAATGGTGTTGAGACAACTGCCCTGCCACTTGGAAAAGAAAATAAAGCTGGATCACTACTTCATGCCTTACACTAACATAAATTCCAGATGGGTCACAGATTCAAGTGTAGAGATAAAACCATTAAATACTAGGAGAAAATACGGCTCACAGTCATAGGGTGGGGAGATCTTTCTAAGAGCATGACATAAAATTCAGGAGCCATAAAGGATAAGATTAACACATTTGCCTATATAAAATTAAACTTCTTTGTGGCCAAAATGATTATAACCAAGGCCAAAAGATATACCATAGATTTGGGGGAAAAGTCCTAATTTCCTTGAAATTGAAAAAGATAACACAGTAGAACATCCAGAAGAAATGAATAGGGAAGAAGGCATATAAATAATAAACTTATGAAAGGATGTTCATCCTCATTCATAAAGAAATGCAAATCAAAGCAATGAATTGATATGTCATTCTTTACTTAGAGATCAGCAAAGATTAAATATTTGATTATCATCATTTTTGGTAAGGGAATGGGCAATCCCACACACTCCTGGCGGGAACATAAATTAGGCTTTCAGAGGACAATTTGGCTTTAATCTACCCAGAATGTAAGCTATATCCTTTGATCTAGCATTTCAACAATTAGGAAAGGATCACAACAGATGCTATAACTCAAGTCCATAAACATACGTGCACAGGAATATTCCTAAGTATTTGTAATAACCCAGAAGGAGAAACAAAATAAATGCCATCAAGGACACATGAAAGAAAGAGGTAGATCACTCACTATGCACTAATATTTGGAAAGAGGTTCAAGGTATATTGTTTAAAGCAAAAAAATCTTGCAAAATTCTCATTTATGTAAATATGGTTGTGTTTATTTAGATTTCTGGAAGGATACAGAATATTGAAAGTGGTTATTCCAGGGAGTGGGACCCTGCTGGGAATTTTTTTTTTCCTTTCTATTTTATTTCTTCGGTATTTTTTAAAACTATGAGCTTGAATTACTGCTTAGTAAAAAATCAAAAGACCAAAGCTGCACATATAAACAGAGTAGCATGAAAATGAAACAAGACGGCTATGGTGGAAAGCAGAGATGGGGGGGATCCAGCTGGAACTAGTCTGGGTACCCACAGGCTCGGGGGCACCTTTCACCTTCAGGGACTGGAACAGCTTTCAGGAGTCTATAGGCTCTGGTTTGGGATTAGCACAAGCCTGGATTTTCCCATTTCCTATGGTACGGGACCCCAGGGTCACACAGGCTCCCTGACCAGGTCCCCTGTGATCCAGAAAGGGCAGGGCTACTCTGTTAATGTGACCTGCAACCTTGACAGGTGAGTACAGATTCTGCAGGGGATCCCAAGGCTCAAATCCTGGGGCTAAGCTGGCCTTCAGATGGACTTGGGTTCAGCTGTGCATGCTAAGCAGGCAGTGGAAATCACACCGAGCCCATCAGTAGATCTACTTTTCTGGAGGATATTATACAATGATGCAAGTTACTTTAGCTAGGCTTTGTTTTTCTGCAACATATTTCAGAGACTCACAAGGCCTGACCTAGAGTCTCATTTGTAGGAAGGAGTCAGTAGTTTATTGATCTAACACTGCACTAAATTATACAAGGGATCTTTCCCCCTTGGCTATTTCATTCTGGGATTCTAGAATGTATTGAGATTTCTGGGGAAAGGGTCATTTTCCTCGGTAGAGTTCTACCCTGACAATGCTCTTTGTTCGGCACTTAATGAACTTTGAGAAAAACCAGTGCTATGGGAATATCACAGGGAAGGGGAAAGCTGCTACCTGTCACCTGTTTAACGTAGGTAACTTTGCAGGAAAAATGTATGAAACTACTCTGTATAAAGGTTAAAAGGACACCTCTGGTATCAATCTTACCGGGTATCCCACTCAAACACTGGATAAAAAATTCTGCTTGATCCATTTTTTGGATTAAAGTCAGTTTTCCTGACAAAGCCCAACCTCCAGGCATGCTAGAGAAGTCAGAACCACTCCACAAACCCTTGAAACTCGTTAATGGAGAGTTAAAGTCCTGAGAAAAATGAAATTATCAAAAAATCGGGGCAATGTATTACAATTTATAAGCGACACTCACTACCAAATATGGAGTCAACCTGTACTAATGAAATCCATTCCTTCCAGTGTAAGATTGCTGTGTCTCTTGGATGTTCCCAGAAAATATGTGAAGAAGTCCAAGGAAAGTTAGATGAACAGATTTGAGTCAAACAACTTGAATCAGAGATTGTTTGTGGATCAAAGTATCAATTTATGGACATCTTTTTAAAACCTAAACTCTTCTCTAAGGACACAGGGCTGTTTAAACGGTCTTGTTTGATAAGGACAGCTCAAGTGCCAGTTTTTTTTAAGATTTTATTTATTTATTTGACAGAGAGAGAAAGAGAGAGAGAGAGAGAGAAGGAACACAAGCAGGGGGAGTGGGAGAGGGAGAAGCAGGCTTCCCGCGGAGCAGGGAGCCCGATGCAGGGCTCGGGCTCGATCCCAGGACCCTGGGACTACAACCTGAGCCGAAGGCAGACGCCTAACGGCAGAGCCACCCAGGCGCCAGCTTCTTTGGAGCGTCAGTCCCTGGTCTGTATCTTGTCTGGCCTCGGGCTAAGTGGCTCTGCTGTCACAGCAGGAACAGTGGGGACAGCTGATGTCTGGGGGAGGGGGTTGGCCTGTGCTGACACTGAACACTGGTGCAGCTACTCTCCCAAATTTCAGGGCTGAAAAGAGAAGTGGTGGCCCAAGGGAGTGCCCGGCTGGAACAGGGTTAGAGCAAAGCCAGCCTGTGAGAGTGGGGGTGAGTCCCACAAGTTCAGGGAATACAACTGGGGCGACTTTTTTCTGATCTCAGAGCCAGGGCCAAGCTACCAACACTGCTGAGTAAGTCAGAGGTGGTCTGGTCATCTGGGCCATGGGCTTGTGAGCCCACTGGGACAGAACCTATGTCTGGGCCAACGTATGTTCTCCTGGTCTGTGGAGCTGGCGCTGAGGTGCTGGGGTGGGGAAGTGCAGCAGGCTGCCTTAGCTTATTAGCTTGGAGGCCCTGTGCAGAAAGAAAGGAAAGGTGAGAATTTGGTTAATAGATGCTGGTTGCCCTGCTGTTCCTGAGAAAGGAAACTCTCCCTGTACAGAACCTCCTGCTCACAGTTTAAAATGTAGCTTCATTTTTTTTAACAGAACAGAGCTGTTTATACCACACGCTAAACTCAACATACGCAAGAACATTAAAAAAAATCTTTTATGTCAGTAGGCCCAAAGCTACAAAAGTCTATGAATGTTTAAATAAAATTGGATAAATATACATACACTTGGTATGGGAATGACCTGCCTCTGGTCACCCTAAGGAAAAAGAAAAAAGAAATCATTGTCAGGTTTGAAGAGAAGTAAGTAGATCATATACTCCAAAGAAACTTCAAAGCACTCTTGAGTTCAGCAGCCCTATGATTTCCTGTTCTCTATACCTTAGTGGTATTTAATGAACAGGAGGAGCCCAAAGATTTTCCAGTTAGGGCACTGGGCTCCACTCTGCCTCCCAGACACTCCCTCTGCTGACAAACCAGGCTGGGTTCCTGAGGCTCATTAATCTTGTTTATTTAAATGATGCCTCCCTTACTCCCAGGAATTTAATTCTTAATTGAAAAATAAAAACAAAAAACCCATATGTTACTTTGATCCATTAATCCCTCTAATAGCTGGCTTATTTCTTCTTTTAAGTAAGTTTTTCCCTAAAGAGACTAAGCCTTAAGTCGGTACAATATGCAGGGGAAGGAAGACTGGTTATCAGGTTACGAGGCACACCCTGGCCTCTCCTGGTTTTCTCCTAGAGCAGGACTGGGAAGAGAGGACAAGGCAAGGCTCAAGAGGTTCCCCCTGAGGCCACAGACGTGGAGACAGCATTCCTTCAAGGGGGACAGAACCTGTACTCACAGGGAATGTCAAGAAAATTCAGGCCCCAGGGTGGGGCCTCACCCATTCCTTAGCCTCGGAATGCCAGCCATTCCAAACCCGGCTGATGGAAACGTTTCATTTTGGCATCATTATGAAATGCTAATAAAATAACACATTCTCTCCATTATCTCTACTGAGCATTTCCAGTTTCTGTGTTTCTTCTTTTTTAGATGGTTCGATGGGAGACAATGAATAGCAGCATCATAGTTCCCGATGAGGAACTGTCTCCAGTCTCCCACACAGAAGGATCTGTGAACAGTATATCTGTCTTTACTGAGGGGGTCACTGGTGACAAGGTTCTCATGGGAAGGGGTCAAACCTGACTGTTGACAGAGGCAGGTGGCTGGTACCTTTCTGAGCTCTGCTCTGCCTCCAAGCATCATTTAGCAGCTTCTTGATTATCTGCAGCCCTAGTCACCACCTCTGCAGTACAACAGCAACTACTCTTCCCTCTTGAGATCGTCTTGACGCTCTTTCCTTTTTCAGGACACTTGGGGCTTGTCTTAAGGATTCCGAACTGCCTTCTGCCATTATTCAAGGCAGGGCTGTGCTGCTCTCCAACATGATGGCACAATCAAATCCAATCCCAGTTTTTAAGAACTTCTGCAGAGAAGTTCATTTCCGAAGCTCTTAGGTAATATTACTCCCAACACCCGGACCTAGGAGCAGGTCACTGCTCTTGGTGGGGAGACTTTGACCAGAAGCTCACAAGCCCATTGGGCCACTACAGAGTAGGGTTTCTCAACCCCAGAGCTACCAACGTTCTGGGCCTGACAACTCTTTGCTGTGGGGGCTGTCCTAAGGATTGTAAGATGCTCGAAAACATCCCTGGCCTCTACCCAATGGATGCCAGTACAATGCCCAGTAGTGACAATCGAAAATGTCTCCAGACATTGTCAAGTGTGCCCAAGGGGGGGCAAAATCATCTCCAAGTGAGAACCACTGCACTAGTGGGAGGCTGCAAATAGTCCCTCCACACAGGTGCATCTTCAGACAAGAGGAGCACATCAGTGAAGGAAGAGGTAACAGTAACAAACATCCTAAAAGCTTGGCAAAACATAGGCTAGGACCAAAGACGCTACTCTGGCCAGATATTTGGGCTGGAAAATTACCCTGGAAGTTTGCATGCATGTGTGTGTGTATGCATGGGGTATGCATGCATTAGGGAGTGCCCAGCAATCCCTTTACTCTGCCCTCTCCCTGAGAAAGTCCTCCAAGGTCCTGGCCATTGGGGTCTTCTGGGTGCTGGCTTCTTCTTGCCTCTGGCCAGGGCCTTGGACCCGTTTATTTTGGGCAACTGGCCTGCAGGTCCAGGTTGTAACCGTGATGGTGCCACTCTAGGCCACTGCTGTGGAAGCATTTCTCCAGGGTAAAGTGAATGTGTAGGGTGGATAGAACCCTAGCTGCCACCCATTGCATTCTGCCCACAGCCTTCCCTCTGCCTCTGGCCTGTTGAGTTCCAAGAGGCAGGGAGAGCTGGAGGTCAGCACTAGAGATGGGCCTAGAATCTGGTTCCACAACTTATGGGCCTGGGCTCTGTGTTCCAGGTGTCCTGACCAAGCTCAGTTCGAGGGAGGGCGGAGGGTCCTCCTCTAGGCCTTAGCTGTCCCACTTTGACCCTGGTTCTTTCCGTGGGGTCTGGTCTTACAGACTGAATAGTCAAGTGTTAATGTAGATGATTCATTACTCAGAGTTAATTAATTCTTTAAAAAGCTATTTTGATAAATATTAAGTGAAGGAAGTCTACTAATGAACACTCAGTCCAGCTCAGCTCCAGAGGAACTGCCTTCAAAGGCCTTTATTCTCTCATAAACACAGCCAGCCACTCCAGGAAACCTGTCAGGGGTGTACCAACATTGTCTCATGGCATTTCATCTAGGCAAATACTACTTCTATTTTTTAAAAGATTTTATTTTTAAGTAACCTCTACACCCAATGTGGGGCTTGAACTCACAACCCCAAGATTAGAGTCACACACCCCTCTTCCCAGTGAGACCAGCCAGGCACCCTGGCAAATACTAATTTCAAATAAAACTTTTACTATGACAGCAGTGATTCATTTCTTTTATCCTCTACAGACCTAGGGTACCAATTATGGTCCTTTTGCTAACGGCGATTCTCAAAAGATTCTCTAAAATGATTTTTAAATTGGAGGAGGGAGAGTATGAGGAAAGCTCACTGGGGGAACACATCAGAATCTGGGGCTGAGGGTTTACAATAGAGTCTCATCATGTAAATTCCACTAATATATTTTTCTATACCAGCGTACAGTAAGGCTTCATCTGTTAAGGCAAGTCATCTTTCATTATTTTTTCCCAAAATTTTCTCACCTATCCTTAGATATTATTTCTTCTATATAAATTTTAAATCTTATCTAGAAACACGGCATATTTCTCCATAAATAAGAGCTACCATAGCAAAACCTTTTAATGATTCTATTTTTGAAGTATTTGGGTTTTCTATGTAAATAATCATGTCATGTGCAAATAAAACTAATTTCCAATCTTTTTTATATTTACACCACGTGTTTCATTTTCTTGTCTTACTGCATTAGCCAGAAACTACCAAAGATTTTCCTATGTTGTTTGCTGTATTTATTTATTTTTTAAAGACTTTTTGTAAAGACTTTATTTATTTGAGAGAGAGAGAGAGAGAGAGCCCAGCAAGGGGAGCAGGAGAGGGAGAAGCAGGCTCCCCCTGAGCAGGGAGCCTGACGTGGGGCTCGATCCCAGGACCCTAGGATCATGACCTGAGCCAAAAGCAGACACACAACTGACTGAGCCACCCAAGTGCCCCTTAATGATTTTATTTTTAAGTAATCTCTACCTCCAACATGAGGCTCAAACCTACAACCCCAAGATCAAGAATCACACACTCCACCGAATGAGCCACCCAGGTGCCCCATATTTTTAGAAGATAGTTTTTTATCGTGTTTAAATGGTTTTCTTCTATATATTTGTCTGTGCTGTTGATTAGTATACAAAGGTTTATGGCAATTACACACTTCATCAGACCTATTATCATGAGAAAATATCCCTCTTTCTACTGTTTAATGTTTTTGACCTTGAATTTTGTTTTGTCTGATATTAATATTGCCACCTTTGCTTTCTATTTGATCTGCTTTTCTTTTATATATTTGTCTGTACTGTTGATTAGTATACAAAGGTTTATGACAATTACACACTTCATCAGACCTACTATCATGAGAAAATGTCCCTCTTTCTACTGTTTAATGCTTCTGACCTTGAATTTTGTTTTGTCTGATATTAATATTGCCACCTTTGCTTTCTTTTTATTTGATCTGCTTTTTACATTTTGCCCATTTTCCACCTTCTTAAAATCATTGTATATTAGATGTCAGAAACGAGTAGCCACCTACTGTAGCAGTAATTAGCACTGTTAGCCAAATAATTCCAGGTTTCTTTCTGGGCAAATGGTAGGATTGCACTTTCATGCTCCCTGAAGTTAGGTATAGTCACGTGAATTGCTTTGGCCAATAAGATGTAAGTTACTTTTGAGTGAAAACTTTAAGAGCCAGTGTGATTCACCACATTCCCTTTTCCCTGCTGTGACAATGATGAAAGCAAAGAGATGGGCCTTCCTCAGTCTAGTCCATGAATGAGGATATAGTCTGATAATGGTAGCTACAGGTCACAGGTGGCTACTGAGCCTGTGCAAGGTAGCTAGTACAAAGGAAGATGTGCTCTAAGTATAAAATATACATCAGATTTTGAAGAATTAGTAAGATAAAAAGAATATAAGTTTTATCTCATTGGTAATTTTTTTTCTATTGATTACACATTGAAATAATATTTTGGATATCTCTGGTTAAATAAAATATATTATTAAACTCAATTTCACCTTTTTTTAAAAAAAGTTTCAAAATGAGGCTACTAGAAAAGTGTAAATAACATATGTGGCTCACATTCTCTATCTACTGGACAAATGCCACAGAGCAGAGAGCCCACCTAATCCATAATACACATGTAGCATGAGTGAAAAATACACTTTTATTGTTTTAAGTCTCTGAGGTCTGGGGGTTGTTACTACAGCATAATTGAGCCTACACTGCCTAGTATGTCAACTCAGCAGTCATTCCTCCTTTCTCCTTTGTGAAAGAGCTCTGATTCTGTTGAGGGCAGGAATACGCCAGTCTAAATTCTTCCCTTTTCGGGCCTCCCTTGTAGCTGGAGGGTAGCCATGTGACAAAGTTCTGGCCAATCAACAAACGTAGAAGTCCCCTGGGGTTTTCTGTGAAAGCATTTACTTTCCACAAGAGGGACAGGCATGGGTTGTGCTGATCCTCCCTCTCTTCTTCCCTTGAATGTGGATATGCTGTCTGAAGCCTGTGACTTTGAGATAATAAACAAGCATGAGGATGAAGGCAAACAAGCCAAGGACGGTGGAACGGAAAAATGGAGAGACAGAAGAACAGAAAGAACCTGGGTCCCTCATGGCATAATCAGGCCCCTAAACTAACCTCAGCAACTGCCAGACTCAGGCCTTTTATGTGAAAAAAAAATAATCCCCTATTTGTTTAAGCTATTATTTGTCAGTTTTCTTTTACTTGCTGCCAAAATCGTTCCTATCTGATACAGGTCTATTCTTGGAAACAGCACACAGATGAATTTGTCAAGCCAATCTGATGTAGTCTTGGTCTTTTGTTAGGAGAATTTGGTTCATTGAACTTGGTTTTATGCCTACTCTTTATGTTCGGTTTACTGTTTATGTTGTTTGTTCTTTTTTTCCTTTTCTTAATTTTGATAGTTTTTTCACATTTCTGCCCGTTTCTCCTTTCAATCCTTGTGAATTTTGAGGATCTATTTTCTTTCTTTTTTTTTTTAAGATTTATTTATTTGTGTGTGTGTGAGAAAGAGAGAGAGAGAGAGAGAGAGTGAGCGGGGGAGAGGCAGAGGGAGAGGGAGAGAGAGAATACCAAGCAGGCTCCATGCTCTGCACAGAGCCTGACATGGGGCTCTACTGAGGATCTATTTTCTAATTGTGCTGCTTGTTACGGTTCTATTCCTAATAATTGTATTTATTCCTACATCTTCTATAATTATATCATAACAGAATATCAATCTCACCCAGATTTTTTTTTGTCCCCTCTCTGAATCATTACATGTCTGAAAATGTACTTCCTTTGCCTTAATAAATGGTATCTTGGCCACATACAGAATTTTTGGTTTGGAATTCTCTCTCAGTAGCCTGTAAATTTTTCTTTCATAGTCCTCTGGCCTTCCATATTGTTGATGAAAAGTCTGGTACTAGGATAATTCTCTTTCTTTTGGAAAATATCTTGTTCTGGTAGCTTGCAAGATTTTCTCTTTACACTTAAATTTCAGAATTTCAACAGCATATATCTAGGCATGTGCTCCTCCACCTGCTGCCCTCATCCTGCTGCAGACTTGGCAAGCCCTTGTAATCTCTACACATTTGAGATTTTTTTCCAACTCAAGAAAAATTTCTTCTATCACCGTTTTCTCTTTCTGGAACTCTATTACCTGCTGTTAGGTCTCCTAGATGCCTCTTCCTGCCCCCATCACAATTATCATCTCTTGTCTCTGGTCTTAACTGTAAGATATTTTTTCCACTTGCTCTTCTAGAACATTAATTCAGTTCTCAGCAGTGACCATCCTCAGTCTCCTTTTTCTCAGTTAGTTTACTGAATTTTTTTATTTAGAAATCATGGGATTTCTTTTTTAAATTCTAAAAGTTACTTCTGTACTCAAAATTCATTTCTTGAAATATCATTTCCTGAGTTGTCTACTAAATTCTCTTTAGGGCGCCTGGGTGGCTCATTTGGTTGGGCATCTGACTTCGGCTCAGGTCGTGATCTCTGGGTCCTGGGATCAAGCTGTGTCAGGCTCCACATTCAGCAGGGAGTCTGCTTCTCCCTCGCCCCTCCCCCTGCTTGTGCTCTGTCTCTCTCTCAAATAAACAGAATCTTAAAAAAAAAGTTCTCTTCCACCTCTTTCATTAGTTCTACCTCAGTGGGAGCCTCATATTCTAGTTTTTCAACTTGGACCTTCTCAGCAGTGGCAAATGAGGGAGCATAGCCAGGGCCCACAAGGAGCAATGTTTTCATGGTCCAGCAGAGCCCAAATTGACAAACCACAAGGACATGAAGAAAGTCCCTGTAGTGATGGGCTCCTTTAGGGCACATGAAGTGAAAGCAACTCATCAGTATAGCTCCTCCAAGGATCACACACAAGAAGTGGGCAGTGTAGGCCCTTTCCAAGGGGATACACAGCTCTTGCTGGCTGGGGGACCTCAAAGGACTATCTGCTTCAAGTCTCTGTCCTAGGACTCCAAGACAAGCAAGCATTTTGCTCTGTTGGTAGTTCCCTGCTTCTCACTGAGTACCAGAGAAGATGAATCCTGTGCCTGATCTTTCCCTTGGCGATGTCAGGAAAACTATAGAGGCCTTAATGCACTTTCCAGGTTCTACCAGCAGGTTCACCTGGGTTTATCCAGAAAGAGAATTTAAATGGTCAGAGCCATGTGCTCAGATTGTCACCTTCCCAGAATCCTTTTTCTTACATTCATATACTTTTAAAGTAATTTATTTTCTAATCCCAAAAGTAATTTAAGCTTATTTTGTGAAAACTGGGAAAAGCAAAAAGAAAAAAAGAGAAAGAAGTAATGCACAGAAGAGGGGAGAAAATTCTATATATAATCCCATCTGTCTGAGATAATCTCTTCATATTTTAGCATATATCATTCTAGTCTTATAAATGCCCGTGTGTGTGTGTGTGTATGACTACATGTATACTTGTAAATATACTCAGCTACTACATTTTATCCGCTAATATAAATATACTCACCTACAAGTTTTTTATCCCCTAAGTGACATATGGTGAACATTTTCTTATGTCAGCAATATTTCTGAGACATTTTTAATTGCTGCACACTATTTGATTGCATGGTTATTCTATGGGTTTTTTATTGTCTGTTGTTGATCATCAGGTTGCTTACACTTTTGCAATATCATAGTCTATGCTGGACAGTATCCCACAGTTCAATCCTTGCACATCTATAACTATGTCAATAAATAATTGCTAAGGTTTTAAGATTACATTGTCAAATTTCCCTCCAGAAAGGTGTAACCAATTAAATGGCTACCAATAACCCATTTATATCTTCTACCCTCTCTGCGGCTACCCTCATCCAAATCCACCTATTATCTTTATAAATATCTTTGATAATTTGATAGATGGATAATTTGATAGATATATGTCACTGTTTTAGTTTGCATCTCTTTGATTACTAATCATACTGAACATGAACATGTTTTCATGTTTATTGGCCAATTGTATTTCTTATTTTGTGAAATGCTTGCTCAGGTCCGTTGCTCACACCATCTGGGACATAAAGTTCTATGGTTTTTGTGTCCTCAATCTCAACTATCTTCACAGTGAATAATCCTCTTGGCCTTTCAGTGATTGTTACCTGAATGAATAAAATGAATGTAGCAATCCCTGCTTTCTTTTTGTTTATATACTTGTGTGACATCTTCTTGCTCATCCTTTTACTTTTAGCTGTTTTGAGTCACTTTGCTTAGGATATGTCTGTTAAACAGCATGTAGGTAGAGTTTAGTTTTTTGCTTTTTTTTTTTAACGTATTGTGAAAATGACTTAAAACTTTGTATCTGATGGATATAAAAGAATAATATATAACAAATATGTTTGTTATTAAATGAGGTAGTTAAACCCATTTATACTTATTATTGGTTCTTTGGCATGCCTCTGTTTCTCCTGTTTCTCCGTTTGTCTTTGCATGTCTTTCTCTGCTACTGGTTCTTCAGCTTTCCGTTTCATGCAGCCAACTTCCCAAGACAGAATGTTATAAAAAAGCGAAGTGATTCTTAGAACTCTCATCATCTATGTGCTTCAGTCACTAAACGGGAATGACTGAGATATCCTCCGATGAAGATGACCTTTTTGGTCATTTCAGATCTTTAAGTTAATGGCTGTACACATAGCTATTATAGACCCCTTATTCAGGATATTCTAGAAGGATGGGACAGATACGCAGCTACTGAGGCTCTGCTGAGCGCACAGCTGCTCTGCTGAGTGCACAGCTCCTCCCCGGCACTGACCTTCTGAAGCCCACCGTTCTCCTCCACCAGGGGCGGAAGCACACTGGGGCTGCTGGTGGGCGGGGCCTCCACATTGTAGTCCCGGAAGCAGCAGAAGAAGGAGCTAAGGATGCCTCGGCTCCTCGGCTTCTTTAAGCTGATGTTGCACTGGGATGCTGGAAGGAGAAACAACACACTGTGGCCAACTGCAGCACGTACTCAGAGTTGTCATGCGATGGGAAAACCCGAATGTGCAGTTGCCCGCCCCCCCACCCCGGAACCCAATACCAGGAGACCCACGCAGCGCGAGAAGATGAGGAGCCCCAGGAAGTTACTCTAAAGGACTGTTATTCAACATGTGATTCCTAGACGGCCAGCTGGTTGATGGAGCCCAATCCTGCTGGCTGGACAGAATTCCTCTGACAGCCCAGTGGGGGCTGCTTGCTCAGTAACTGACCCATCCTCAGGGTCAGGCACCATCTGCATTCCTAAACCCAGCAGACAGCCTTCCGACCCGGAACTAAGTACTACTTAAAAACAAAGATCTTTTCAGGCACAAATCAGACTTGACACTCTCTGAGAAGTATTTCTCTGTGAAGGGTACCAAGAAAGAGTCACTTTGACTAGGTTCTTGAACACTCTTAACTCCAAGACTAACTTCATTAAGAAATGAGAGGTGTAAAAAAAAAAAGAAAAAGAAAAAAAAAGAAATAAGAGGTGTAAGGGCATAAAAAAGACCCCTTCTTAAACTCTGCTGTTTGTCAGGACATTGATGGGAGGGCTGGGGTCCTCCATGACACTTAAAACATAAGCAACAGATGTGGGACAGAGAACACACGGTCTGGCAAGCCCATCTTCCTGAAACCCAGGGCAATTCTGTGCCATGGACTCATTTCCCGGCCTGTCCTGGACTCAGTCTCCCGAGGGGGTGACGTTATCCTTTCTGTTATTCAGGCCTCAAGACGAGCTGCCACAAGTCAGAACTAAAAGGCAAAAATTAGTATAAACTGAAAAACACACCTCAGGGGAGGAGACTGACAACCTGGAGGGCCAGGGAATGCAGCCAGGGCTGTCCCACCACATACCACATCTGGGTGGGTCAACGGCACTGAGCTAACGCCACAAAGGGCCCGTGCTTGGGGTGAGTGCTGACGCCACAAAGGGCCCGTGCTTGGGGTGAATTGGGAAATTACGAGGGTAGGAAACCACTGAGTCCACATGATAACTGTTGGAGTTTCTCTCTCCCCAAAAGCAGTTTTGGCATGATTCCTCTTCTTGTGTACTTGAGTGATTTGTGCAGCACCTTCCCTCTCAAGAGATCACAGACGTCTACTAAAAGTCTTGGGTACTCTTCTGCCGGCAGGAAAACCAAATGCATTCACATGGAAATTCACATGAAAAACAACTGAAAAACTTGCCAGCAACCCCACAGGCATGGGTGGCCTCCAGGCCCAGGAAGTGTGAGTTTAAGATCCTCATTACTAACGGTGAGCTCTAGAACCACATACCCCTGGAAACGCTGGCTGTTTTATCTTCCTTGAGAATGCCTGGGTGCATGTCACAGGCACCAGTCTTCTCACTTGAGGCCCCTGCCGGCAGACCAGGCCACAGGGACCTCCAGGTGCAGAGGCCTTCCAAGGGGGGCGGGGGGGGGGGGGGATGATAATGACCACTGTTTACTGAGGCCCAGCCCTCTAAATTCCACTACTTTACAATCCTCATTTCATGTAACACTCAACAGCTTACCCAAGGAGATCGGCATTACTGCTTCTGTCTTAGAGCTGCAGGACTACAACTAGGAATTGCATGTGCCAGGATCTGAATCCAAGGGGGCCTGTTTCCAAAGTGTGTGCTCTCTCCATGTGCCCTGCTGAACGCAGTCTTGACAGATCAGGTCAGATCAAGGAGGGAACATGCCAAATGGAGAGAAAAGCACTGCAATAAACTCATATTTAATATAAATGATTGGGGGAGGGGGCGCCCGGGTGGCTCAGTTGGTTGAACGTCCGACTCTAGATTTCAGCTCAGGTCATGATCTCAGGACTGTGAGATGGAGCCCCGTGCTGGGCTCTCTGCTGGGCCTGGAGCCAGCTTAAGATTCTTTCTCTCCCCTTTCCCCCCTGCCCTGCCTCACCTCTAGGAAATAAACAAATAAATAGTTAATTAAAAAATATGTATGATTGGTTAAACTGTTCTGTTGTTACTTTGGGTGCTTTCGTTTTTATGCCACACTCAAATAATTTAGTCAGAGGAAGAAAAAAACCCTGCCTCTTCCCCGGCTGACAGCACATTTCTCTGCAAGTAAACAAGCTATTTGTTCATGTCTCAGACACACTGAGCAGCCGATGCCCAAGCTGGGCAGGAAACAGCTCTGCAAAAAGCACCCCCTCAGATCCCATTTTCATCCTCAGGTCACATACATCTTCCCCACAACCAACTAACAAACAAATTAACAAACTAACTTATATACTAAAAAAAGTCCTGAACCTGGAGCCAGTGAGCTACTTACAATTTCTACCGTATGACGGCTTACCACGTAGAAGCCACAAACAGAGCTGTGGGAGTGAGTACCCGGGAAGGTCTTCACCCCCTGATGGAAAAGGAGCAGCTCATTTAGGATCTCCCTTCAACGCACCAGGAGGTGAAGCAGCCCAAAAGGGCCTCACTTCCAAGGCTGAGGGAGGGGCCAGGACTCTTCCCGCTAAATAAGGTTAATTCTAGGGCCTGTAGGAAGCTTTGGGAGGTCAGGGGCTGCCTAGTATTCTAATCGCTCTTGGACTGGTCAGGTGCTCTCAAAATCAGGCTAGCAGGGGAAATGAATGGAGTTGCTCAGGACCAGCATCAGCCTCACCCCACCCTCGGCACTCATTTGGTCCTGAAAGGGCTCAAGATGCTGGCTGGCTGGGTCTAATTACCCTACTGCCTTCCCCCACCTACAAACTGCTTTCCATCTATTACCGAGGCCTGGCCAATCTGAGCCACATGGCTGGCTTAGGGTTGGGCATTTGACCCAACCTGGGCCAAGGAGAGTGTGCCCCAGGATTCATGCTACAGCCATTGGAAAGGATGTTCTCTTTTTGCTGGTTTGCCAAGTGGGTAGGATGTAAACCTGGAGCCCCTGGTGTCTCCTCTGCCATCGACTGAGAAGCAACTACCTGAGCATGAGCCAGAACTGAGGAAAGAGGAGCTGAGATACGGAGAGGGACGGATCTCTGACAATACCATCTGGGGACTTGGTTTCATTAAAACCAGATCCTCCTGGAATTTTCAGTTATGTAAGAGAATAAATTATCTGTTTCTCTGGGTTTACGTTATTTGCGATGGAAAAGACTATCCCTGAAAATGTCAGCTCCCAGGCAAGGTGGTGTAGAAACACTGGTGAACCACACAGGCACCGTCCCTACCTCATGTGGCCCACGTCTAGCGCGAGAGACACTGAACAGCACAGGGCACTGACGGGGCCCAAAGAAGGGCGCACAGTCCAGATTTGAGGGAGGGTAGGAGTGGTTTCTTAGAAGAAATGCTTTCTGAGCTGGGCTCACAGTGCATACAATTGTTGGAGGGGGCAGGGAAGTGGGGAGACAGCAATAGTAAAGAGCCCGACGTGAGAGACAGCATGACCGTATCTCAGAAATCAGAGCAGTGGTGATGGTTGTTGACAGCCTTGTAAGCCACGGTGATGAGTTTGCATCTGACTCTATGGCAATGGGGAGTGGATGAGCAGAACTGTACCACAAATGTCACGGTTTGACCTCTGGAACTGGAACCACTGAATTTAAATTTTAAATTGACTGATAATGGCTATTGATCTGCATCAAAGATTTCCAGGATTTTTGCAATCAGTATTTGCAAATCAGAGATATGGACCATTTTGGGTAAAGAGCCTAGAATGGAAATTTCTTACTTAAAAATTGACTTTAAATACAAGTCACATGGAGATAAAAAATAAAAATAAAAAAAAATAAACAAATCCCATGGAAAGAAAAAGGGCTTTGGAGTTCTATTTTGGGTTCAAGTCTCACCCTGCTACTGGTTAGCCAGTGTTGACTTCATCTACCTAAGCCACACCACTAATATGGGCATCTGCATACCTACCCTTGCAGGGAGGACTGTTGTGTGGATGCAGCAAAAACATGCATATTTGTTCAAGAGAGATCTACCAGCACCTTAAAATACAGCAACAAAAGATTGATTGATTTTAGGTACTGAGCAGTGCCTCACTGTGAACATTCAGAAGTTAGCATGTCTCCAAACAACAGTCCTTACAAAAACAGCCTGGCTTTCTGAGAAAACATGGAGCCCAACCCATTTTGGTTTTGGTTATGTGAATTCTAAACTTAGAACTTGAAGTAGCTCCTTAAAACTTTACTTCCTATCCAGTGAAGGTTTCTTTGTATAGTAATAATGATGATGGTGATAATGATGATGATGTGGGAAACTAAACAAATAAAAAGTTCCACATGTGACACTTAAAATAAACCCTAGGACTCAGGCCTTTTCTAAGGAACAGCTAGAAAGAAAGTATTGTAATTAAAAACATGAAATGTCCAGGGGAAAGTCCAAGGTCTGGTCCTTCGGTGGGATCAAGAGAACCGGTCTAGAGATCTATCAAACTGTGTTTCTGCCCACAGACGGAAGGTGCAAGTGGATCCACCAGGAGTCGGTACCTACCGGCCAAGAGCGGGCATTGCTAGCCAACTGCTTATACTTCCTGACCTACCTGGTTCCCTTCTGCATCCAGAAATTGAAATGTTGACCCTACACCGACAGTGTTTCTTAATCAGTGTGATAGCTGCCCATGCCACATAACCACTGCCCTTAAACAATTCTTACGTGCTGACTTGGTTTAGATTACAGATGTGGGGAGGCTCTGGTTCCATCCCGAAACCCCAGCTTCAGGACCAAAACCTCTGGGGTCTACACCGACTCAGAGCTTCACGTACTTGCGCCTCTGTGAACACCCCCACCCATCCGTCCTTATCTCAGATTTGATATGGAACTTCCACTGCCCCCCACACACCCCTACAATCAAACGAGTAGTTCAGGATGAAGCTCAGAGAAGCTGGAACATAGGTGGAAATGTTTGCTACTCACTATGAATCCATCCCCAATCATTCAAGTTTCTCCCCAAGTGAAGAAACTGCATCTTGGCAGCTACAGAAAACAAAGAAGGTTT